ATAGGATATCATGTCCACATCTTGTACAGCAATTAACCACTAGGAAGAATGTATGCAATGTGTTAATTATTGAAACTGTCCTACCAAAAAAAAAAAAAAAACAAAACAAAACAAAACAAAACAATGTGTGCAATTAAGATACTTTTATACAAAGGAAAAAAATTTGATTTCTTATTTATTTCTTATACAAATTCCCACCAAGCCACTTCTGTAGGAGCAGCCCGACCGTTACATGGGTCACTTCCCAGCAGACTCTGTAAGAGCAAGTTGTTGTCCTTGGGGCTTCTGCTGCACATTAATCCTCAGAAATCATTTTATAGAAGTCCTGAATAAAATGGACGGAAACTTTTGTTCTGTTCCCAATGACACATGCTGTTCTGCAGCTTTTCTCACCCTTCTACTCCCACGCAGTCATGTTTGCCAAGTCGCTGAACTGCAAGTCCCTTCTACTCCCAGGCACTGTGATTGTGCCCAAAGCCAGGAGGCGCTATGCATCCCCATGGAGCAGCACCCTCCAGGGAATCTGGGTTCTGCTCAGCTGTCCAAGGTGTTATACGGAGACTCTCACCCCTGGGGGTGGTCACACTGGGATAGAGCCACCAGTGTACACTCCCAACTCACCAGACAGCAGGGGCTGCAGAGACACCATTTAATCACATTTTAGAAAATCTAGAAGAGCAAATTGTATGGCAGCAAAATTTTTCATAGAAAAAGAATGAGAGATGGTCTACATCAGATTGAAGCAAGAACTTCAATCTGGTAGGATTTGTGATTTAGTCAAACTCTAGAGACTTGACTTAAATCCTGGTAGAGGGCAAATAATATGTTCACTCATATTATTTGTTCTTTCATAAAAGAGAGGAGAGTGGGCTCCTCTTATTTATTTATTTATTTATTTATTTATTTATTTATTTATTTTGGTGGAACCAGGGATTTGCTTTTCGAATGTTGTTTCCTTCTTTTGTAGAAAATGTACTTTAGGAATTTTTTTCACTTACATCTGTCTTCATTAGAAATTGGTTCCTTGACGTTTTCTTTGTCAAGATAGTGTGAGCACAGATGAGCGTCACTCAGAACTGTGGCCAACTGCATTTGGCTGCTTGGGACCCCTTCTGCCCGAATGCCCTCACCCAGGTAGAGGGGGCAGCAACACCTTCTCTAGTGGGATAAGGATGGCTCAGGCCCACAACTTCCCAGGCAGGTGGAGGGTAAAGGCTTGAGTAAGAGACAAGGTCTATGATCTTAGGGCCCCAGGAGGATCAAAACCATCAGCAGAATCTGATATTCTCTAGGGGCTGACACAAAGAAATTCTCTGGGAAACTTGAATTTATTTGGTTTTCAAACAAAGGAGAGGGATACTGAAGAAAACACAGGAATCTGTGTGAAATCTTGGGAGACAGTTCAAAGACTTCCCAAGGTTGTAACGTATGCTAATTAGGAGACTGTATTGGTCAGGGTGTTACTTAGAGGAACAGATATAAGGAACAGATATTAACACAAGATATACAATGTATAAGGAGTTACAAGATTGGCTTACTACACGCAGAGTCAGATGAGGGAGTGTGCAGGGGGCGTCTGCACACCCCAGACTGAAGAATTCAGTCCCAATGTCTGAAGCTCACTGCCGTGCTCCGTGCAAGTCTCTATCGGTCAGCTAAAGGGTCTGCAACAGACGCTGACGAGTCTGCGACGGAAGGTAAAGGATCCAAGCTGGAGGCCGAAGCCAGGCGATGAAGTCCAAGCTGAATGCAAAGACTGGAGTTCCTCGGAGGAAGTGGAACATCGACTACTTCCTCAGCCCCTTTATATAGTCTCTTTGTGCTGAGTCACTCTGGGGGCAGAACCAATTGTGCCCCAGAACAGGACCCCCACCAGCCAGAACTGCGCTGTAGACACATCTGGCCAAGGTGATACAATGTATCAACCACTACAGAGACTATCTTATCACCAGGTTGACATTTGTTATACCAGTATAGTTTAGTTAATTGGGATTGGAGCCAGGCATCCTCAGCTGTGGCCATCACAGCCTCACAGGCTACTACAGGCCTCAGCCAGGACCAGTGACTCACAGAGGTTCACTTACTATGAGTCTGCTGCCCATCTCCAGACAAGGGGCCTAGTCCTGAGAGAGACTCACAAGTAAACATTGGAAGCCAATTGGTTAATTTAAAGCTGTTCAGAGCTGCTTTGTAGTAGTTTCCATCAAGGAGACATGGGCAGTATAGGGTGCAGATGGGGACAGACCTTTCCTCTCGACCTCCTCTTTCCCCTGGTCCACAGCAGAAGTGGGCTCCTCTCTTATTTATTTATTTATTTACTTACTTACTTACTTACTTATTTTGGCAGAACCAGGGATTGAACTCAGGCCCTTGCACTTGCCAGGCAAGCACTTATTCTACAGAGCCATCTCCCCGGGCCTGGGCTCCTCTCTTTTAAAAGGAAAGAAAGTGTAGACCTTGAAGAGAGGGAAGTACGTGACCAACACCCAACTTGGGAATAGCCTAGGATGTGCAGAACAAATGTGGGGACAGAGAGAAGGCAGAGGGGCAATGAGGCCAGTGTGATAGGGGTCAGGAGAAGAGGCCAGGAAGGACAGCAGAAGAAAGACCTGGGCCCAAGAAGAAAGAGGAGGCAACAGAGATTTACAGAGGGGCTGGCTGGGCTGAGCCCAGGGAGGAGCTGTGTGCCGCCTCACTACTGAGTGAATTGAACTCACAGCCCCCATATCCTTATAAGCACTGTGGCCAGAGGTATGTGTTTGTAGTAAATCAGTCTGAGCAAGTGTTTTAACTCAGTGCTTTAAAGAATTAGGTATTTAAGTATAGTTTAATCATTCAGCTAAATCTGCCTCATTATGTGAAATGGAATGGAAATTATAAGTTACTTATATATTGTCGCTATTACTTGCAGTTAAGGATAACGATGTGAAACCATTAAGGACTGGCCCCTAGTCCAGTTCTCCATTGCCTTCCTAGTTACACAAGCACCAGCAAGCATGACACTGACAGCATGAGCTTGTTTCGTGTCCCACAGGGCAGGAAGCATCTTTACTTTTCTGAAGCAAACAAATCCATTTACCTTCTCCCTCCCCCTGCTGGGCAGAGGAGAAATTCAATCTCAGATGCAGCGCACAGGGGCAAGAATTTGCAGGGTAGGTTTGAGACAGACTTTTAGGCCTTCCTGCCTCCTTCTCAAAACAGCCCCACGTGCTCACCTTGCCTCCTGGACCTCAGTGTTCAGTCCCCAAGCACACTCTTCTGCTGCCCTTACTCTCCTGTCACCTAGTCAAGGGGACACAGGTCTCACTGCCCTTGGAATCCTCCAGGTATTCTTCTAATCTCAGAGTCACACCATCTGAGGGTTAAGACATCACAAGGTGCAGGGGTCTGGCTCAATCCTACTGGCTCGGGCACAGAGCAGATCAGCCCCTGACTACCTCCTCTCAGTCCAGCCTGATACATGCTGTCTTGGTATGGGACTTCCCTGGTTGGGCCTCCACACAGCTAGAGCCACCTCACCAGCCTTCCTGTAGGGGTCCAGGAAGGCATCACATCGGTTCCCGACGTGCTGCTGATGCTGTGACTGCTGTGGAACCAGGTGGTCTGTGTGGTCCTGACTCACAGGCTTTATCCCGATGTACTCGTGCTTTCCATAGGCTCAGTTTCTACCATGCACAAGACTGCCTTTCCCACCACAGAACCAAACAGACTGAGTGACCTCTTGAGCAATGTGTCCACACATGAGCCACTCACTGGAGATCAGGACGCCAGGGACACCAGCCACTAAGTACGCTTCTTTCTCCAGAATGAGAATGAGTCCATAAATTCTAGAATCCAATTTCAATCTGTCTTTCTCAAAATCTAGACATTTTGAGGTGAGTGGAGATTTCTCTCTTTGCACAACATGTTGTCATGTCCCTGTGTACCCTAACATGTACCTGTGTACCCAGACATCTCAGCATGCAAAGAGGTGCACATATATGGACATGTACATCATACAAAAGTACACAGACCTTGGATTCAGTCTCAGTAATCTCTGTCTGTGTGCCCAGAACAAGTTACATCCTGAAGGATCAGCATGTTTCACTTAGAATGAGACAAATAGCACAATGATGCTACCCATACCTCTACAACTCAAATTCAGTGAGAAAAACTTGGTGCTGAATATAATATTTTTCAGGTATTTTTTGTTAGAAATATATGAATGAGTCAGGCCTTGTGGCACATGTCTGTAATCCCAGCACTCGGGAGGCTGAGGCAGAAGGATCACTGCATGCTTAAGGCCAGTCTGGGCTACAAAATGGGTTCAAGGCCAGCCTCCTAAGCTGCATGGAAAGACCCTGTCTTTAAATTATAAATAAAATAAGTGAATAGATCCCAACAACTAGTATCCAAAGTAACGAAGAAAAAATTGGTGTTGGATTTATGTAGGTGAAAGATATATATTCATATACATACCTATTTTAAAGAGTTTAATGGCTTTAAAGGTGATTTTTAATTTAAAAGCTCTTCACACTGTTCTCACACCACATCAGAAAGAACTGCATCAGCTATTTGATATGAAGGGGCCAGTTTAGTGGCTCACCTGTAAGAAGTACCATCCGTGTTAGCAATTGTAGTGTCCTGGCTTTTAGTATCATTTTATAATAGAAATCTAAGCACAAGTCAAAGAAGCTCTGGTTTTCAGTCTGCCTTGTGTCACCTCATAGCTAGGCAATCTTGGACAGGTGTCACAATCTCCAGCTATAACATATACCACAGTTGCCCTGAAAGGCTTGGATTCAGGAACTACCAGGGTATAGAGTCGCCACCCTGGCAAATGGTGCTCTCTCAGGATCTGTTCTTTCCCACCCTAGTTACCCTCCATCTTTGCAGGTCCATGAGTGTGCACGGGGTGTGTGTACACTTGTGCATGAGTGTGCAAGAGGTGTGATCCACATCTATCTGTGTTACTAATAACCATGCTGTCTGCTTGCACAGGTCGAAAGGAAGTCTCTGATGAAAAGAGGCACCCCTGGAACACATCACGCCTCCACTCCCAGCTCAATCTGGTGGCACGCAGGAAGGACGCCGTGGCCCACCGCATCCTCTCCGCGCGGCTGCACAAGATCAAAGAGCTGAAGAATGAGCTGGCCGACATCCACCGCAAGCTGGAAGCCATCGTCATAGAAAACCAATTTCTCAAACAACTTCAGTTTAGACACCTGAAAGCCATAGGAAAATACGAGAACTCCCAAAGCAATTTACCCCAAATTATGGTTAAACATCAGAATGAGGTGAAAAATCTAAGGCAGCTCCTTAGGAAATCCCAGGAAAAGGAAAGAACTGTCTCCAGGAAACTCAGAGAAACTGACAGTGAGCTGCTGAAGACCAAAGACACTCTGCAGGCACTGCAGAAGCTCTCTGAAGACAAAAACCTGGCAGAAAGGGAAGAACTGACTCAGAAACTGTCGGCTCTTATGGCAAAAATGGAGGCAAATGACAAGAAAATACAGGTCTGTATCTCAGAGGCATAGACAGTAAGATTCCAGAATAAACACATCTTCAAGATGCACACTGGCCCACCAGAGCACGTTCAACCCTTGGCTAGCCTGTGGGGGTGAACAGTGCTGCGGGTAGCAGGGCCAGGGAAGGAAGGGCTCAAGGGAAAAGAGAGAAATCTCAGAAATGGAAATGACCACCATGAGCAAGGGGTCCCCACATAGCTGGACCCATGGATCTGGAAACAGCTGCTCTCGAAGGCAGAATGGCTACCAGTGTTAGGGAGGTTTCCTCATGTGCCAAAAAGGCTGCCCCATGTTGTGCAAAGTAGCCCTAGGAAAGCACCTCACTGCTCTCAACTGTTAGCTGAACCTTGCCTGGTACAGCTCTTTTCCAGCATTCTGAATCACTGGTGTGAGCAATCGTTGCCACTATTTTTAGTTATTCCAGAATAACAGTTTTTCCCAGAATGATCTTAGAAGTAGGGAAAAGAAAAGAACTTTAAAAACTGAAGAAATGAATGGGTTGCTTGTCCTCGGCTGTCTGTGGCTGTCCACAGCCAGGGACAGTGCCATCTGGGATGACCTGGTGGTGATGCCGATCCACTAGAGAATGCCCTACGCACTTTACCTTGTAGACAGTTTTGTCTCGATGGATACAAATATGAGTGGAATTATTTTCACTTTTTAATTATGTGGTACTTCATGGTGAGAGGAAGTATTTTCTATGATCTTGAAATAAGTAAATATCAAGTTCATTTGATCCGTGTTTTCAGTTATTACTTCTTCTGTTAGTAAAATTCTCTACTTTCCAAGAGAAAAGTCTCTAGCTGAGCGTGGTGGAGTCCACCTATAATTCCAGCGACTCGAGGGCTGATGTGGGAGGGTCGCGGTGAGGCAGGAGGCCAGTCTAGGCTACATAGTGAGTTCAAGGCCAGCCTGAACTGCATAGTGAGACCCTGTCTCAAAAAATAAAATAAATAAAAATTTTTAAAGGAAAAAATATTAGTATTCTAGCAAGGGAGATTTTTAGTGATTATTTCACCCTTTTAGATTTCTGTTTTCCATTTTCTTTAATGGGAAAGTATTACTATTAAAATGAGGAAGACCCACTTTGTGAGTTGTGATTGGCCAATAGGATGAATATTTTCAAACACCTTCACCCCATCGTCCTTGACACTTTCTGTAGAAGCTCTGGAGTCCTCATTCCTGAGTGTCTCTAATTGGACTGTCCTGGCTGCCTCCATGTCCTGGATCCATTCAGTGTTCAACTGTCATGATCATTTTGACTTTGGGAAAGAGCCCAAAGCCACACAGTGCCAGCCTGGTGAATAAGGTGGATGAAGACACAGTGTCATGTTTTTACGAGCTGCCCGTCTGCTGGGTGGCATCGGCGGCAGCACTCGCTGTATTATTCATCATATCTCATAAAGACACTCACCAGAGAGCTACTACAGAACTGCTATAGAAAGTGGCAAGGATGATGGGATGAATGTTTCTGAACAGGAGTGAGGGTGTACTGTGAGAGGGATTCATGGCACTGTCTTTTACTATAATAAATTGATTAAAATATAAACATTCACCAGTATTTCCATCATCCTTGTACATGACGGGAGGAAGGCCCTTGAGCTAAGCTTTCTGTCAAAGTCCAGAGCCAACCATTCTGCAAAAAGATAGTCTGTTATGGTTTTGTGTCTAGTTGTCTCCCCAAAGCTTCATGAAGTTAGGGGGCAGACTTCTAGGATTATAGATGTGAGTATTGCTGCTGGGATTATAGGTGTGAGTATTTCTGGGATTATAAATGTGAGTGCTACACCCAGTGGCCTGGGGTGGATAGCTTGAATGCAACATAAGGGAGACAGACTTCCTCTCTGTTGCCATTGTTACCACTACTCCTCCTCTTTGCTGTTGGCTGTTTTCCACCGGCATGACCTGCTACCCTCTGCCATGGGGCCCTCTGCCTTGGAGTCAGCTGAGTATGGACTGAAACCTCCACAAACTGTGAGCTAAATAAACCTTTCCTTCCTTAATTTGAGGCTTTGGGTATTATGTCCCAGCATCAACGAAAAAGTAACTGAGACACAGTCCCTTCACAAAGCAGGTAAGCTTGTGCCCGATGGTGACTGGGCAGAGGCAGCTACTTCATGGTCCCTTTGCACCATCAGGTGGGGAGATCCCCTCACAACTCTCAGACTCTGTTCAAGAGGAACCCCCCACCAGGGTCTACACTGGTATTTGAGTACCTACCACAGAGAGAACAGTTCCCCGGGCACAACTGCCGAGATTCTGGTTTGAAGGATGACATTGATTGTATTTTATTTATTGATCTTAAAGATATGTTCAAAGGGTTTTTTTTAAATCAATTTCCAGAGAATATAAAAAACATTGTGATTTTTTTTTCTGGAACCAAGGATTGAACTCAGGCCCTTGCGCTCTCCAGGGAAGCACTTATTCCACTGATCCATCTCCCCAGCCTATAAAAAACATTGTAAAAACAATGTAAAAAAAAAAAAAAACATGTCCTCTAGGTGAACCATTCATAAAATGATGCTGCAGTTCTACACTTCTAACTCTGGTCCCTTCCACCGTGACTGAGGCTTTGCTCCATGCCAACTGGCCACAGGGTAGGTGACAACTGTCTCCTGTTTTCAGAACCTGGAGAGACAGCTGAGGCTGAACGCTCGGGCCTTCAACCGTCAGCTGGCAGCAGAAAACCAGAAGACACTGGCAGCCCAGACGGCCACAAAGACCCTGCAGGTAGAGGTCAAACGCCTGCAGCAGAAACTCAAGGTACTGCTTTCCAAACAAAATGTGAGAAAATGGTGACAGCCCACGTCCCCAGACACCAGAGTTGCTTATGCATTCCATAGCTGCAGGCTCTGTTAGTAAAATTCTCTAATTTTAAAATTTCTTCTCATTGCCGTTGTGGGCAGATAGGGCGCTGCAATCATTAGATGAGAGAGTACTTACTGTACATTAGAAAAATTAAAGTTTTATTCACTCATGAGACTTGTTTTTTTATTAAATGCATTAATATTATGCTTTGTTTCTACTTTAATGTAATTCTAAATAAATTTCTACATATAAAGTGTCACACTGTACAATCAAGGCCTAATTTTAGTACATGTGCTGCCAAAGGGAGCACAAGGGCAAACCATAATGCCCCACAATTTATTTAAAGTCTCTTTAGAAATGCGTTTTTGGAATCATCTTTTAAGCCAGGCATGGTGGTGTGCCTAGTATACTAGCATTCAGGGGACCGAGGCTGGAGGATCACCATGAGTTTCAGGGCAGCCTGGCACCACAGTGAGATCCTGTCTCAGAAAAAAAATTCTAAAATTTCCAATATTTGGGGAAAGCCAGATAAGACAACTAAAATATAAATGCTTTCAAATCTCAACTAATACATCTTCAGCTTAGTTCTTGAGAAAAAAATCTTCAACTTTTCTTGGATGGGTAAGGAATGTGGATTCCAGGGAGTCTTCGAATCAGATTGCTACAGTCTGGGTACAGGGAGGACTGGGAGACAGATAGAAACCCTCCCTGCGTAAGGCCCGAAAAAAGTTGAGTTTGCTTTTTATCTTGAGTTCAGAAAGCGAGGAAAGAATGCACTGGAAAATGAGCATGACTATACAGGCAGCTTAGCTGTCTAAGAGAAAAGGCTTTGGGACCCGCTGGCCAAGCCACACAGACGCAGTCAGGGAATTTTAATATACTTTCATGTTCCCTTATTCCTATAAGTAGACATTGTGTGCAGCCACTAAATACACATTTTTTTGGGCAGCAGATACACTTAATATTCGATGAAATGCCTAATTAAAACAGAAAACTATATACTAAAATTTTAATTTAGTACGATAACAAGATTGCAAAAATAAATATTTTAGAAATTGTTGAAGGTGTTGCTCAGTGGTAGACCACCTGCCTCGCATGCATGAGACCCTGGGTTCTATCCTCTGCACTTCACAAGCAAAAATCCCTCAAATCTTATTTTTTTAAGAAGAAAAGTAAATGTACTTCTGCACCATCTATTTCTGTGCTTTTATAAAAAGAGACAGGGCAGCTGGGGTGTGGCTCAGTGGCACAGTGCTTGCCTGGCATATGGGAGGTTCTGGGTCTGATGTCCCTGCATGACAAAAGAAAAAAAGCAAAATAAAAATGAGAAACTTGCACAAACCCTGTGACATGATCTCAGTATGCCCTGGTAAGTGAGAAAAGAACAGGGAGAGAAAGCAGGCATTTAGGAAAAGATCAGCAATAAATTCATCCACATTATTTTCATATTTTTAAAAATCAGTAGATAATAGAAAGGTGGAGGGCTGGGGAGATAGCTCAGTAGAACACGTGCTTGCCCAGCAAGCACAGGGTCCCAAGTTCAATCCCCAGTACTGCAAAAAAAAAGGGGGGGTGAAATAAGGTAAAAGGGTCATAGAACCTAAATTTCTTAAATCTCTTCTGCTTAATATGATTTTGAAATCAAGTGAATATTTTGCTTAATTATATACAATCTTTTATAAAAACTAAAAGACTGTACCAAAAAATTCCAAAGTAAATAAAAATACATAAGCCAACTATGTATTAGATTGGTAGCATAATGTCACACAAAGAAACATTCCAAGTGACTTAAAACATTAATTTGATCATATGTTAGTGATATACAAGGTAAGAACAAAAGTTACTTCACATACACACAAATTGTAAACTACTGTTCGTTTTCTACTGATTTTGGTGGTAGTAATGATGATACTGTTATTTTGACACTGATATGTACATACTATATAACATAGTAATGCCCACGTCACTGAGAACTGGTATTTAGGAGACAGAAGAAAAAAGCTACAGAAATAAATAAAAATAACAAAACATTAGAGAGTGAATAAAAATATTATAAACCTTATTTTGATCTGAAGTAAAAGTATAAATTTATTTTGTGTGTGTGTGTGTGTGTGTGTGTGTGTGTGTGTGTGTATTTAGTACAGGGTCTACAGGATCTCACTACCCAGATCGGACTAGGAGTGATTCTCCTGTTTTCAGCCTCTCAAGCGCTGGGATTACAGTTGCATGCCACCACACCCACACCCAGCCTCAATTGCCATCTCAGCATGCCCTGGGGGCGGGGCCAGCGCAGCACACCAGGGATCAAACCCCAGTCCCTGCCTAAGAAGGCACTTTAGTCTGCTGAGCTGGCTGGCCAGCCCTACATTTATTTATTTATTTATTTTTTATTTATTTTTTGTGGAACCAGGGATTGAACTCAGGCCCTTGAGCTTGCCAGGCAAGCGCTTATTCTACTGAGCCATCTCCCTGGCCCCCCTACATTTATTTTTAAAACTGCATGTTTCTCAAATGACCAACTCAGCAGCAATGAGTACCCCTGGAGCTCTCTAAATGGTCTTCAAAGTCCATAATAGTCCATAAACAAGAGCCAAAGCACCTCAAAAAAAACTGTAAGTCTGGTGCACAAGGTCTACTAGACAAGCCTAGGGCTACGGTCATATGGAAAAGGAAAATGTCAGGGGGCAAGAAGATGGCATGTGAAGGGCTTGGGAGCCAGCTAGAATATAGGCTCTAACTGGCCAAAGGTGGGACAGTGTGAACATCAAAACGATAACTTTGTGGACTCCAATGTATCCACACAATCCAAAAGTTCACGGGGGCCAGGGAGATGGCTCAGTGGAATAAGTGCTTCCCTGGCAAGCGCAAGAGCCTGAATTCAATCCCCCAGTTCCGCCAAAAGTTCACAATAACACTTATCGGTAATTACTCATCTTTGGAGGGTTCCAGTACACCACTGGGGGAACCAGTACACTATTTTGAAAACTTATACACAAGGAAAGAGAGACAAACACGTATTTTACTTTTTCTGTGTGAAGTATTCTTCAGAGTAACCATATTGTGTAAGGAAGTTCTGGCCTCCTTTTAAAAGCACTTCCAGGGCCAGCAAGCTTAGGCAGGCACAGGGAACCACAGTTCAATTCCTGGTACCACACACCAAGCCAGCCCCTCCCTCAGGGTGGGCTGAGCAGGCGAAAAAAAAAAAAGCACTTCAGTTGATGAGCTATGGACATAACTCAGCAGTCTAAGTGCCTGCTTGGCAAGTGCAAGGACCCAGGTTCATCCCTGGTACCACATGTGCAGGCCCTGTCCTAGGTGTACTGAGTGGGCTACCAAGCCCCAGCATGATGGCACATGCCTGTAATCCCAGCACTGGGGAGACTGAAACAGGAGAATCACTATGAGCCTGAGCTACATAGCAAGACCCTGTACCAAATACATCAAAATTTTTTTGTTTGTTTTTTATATTTTAGGGAAGGGTCTACAGGATGTTCAGGGTCTCACTACTAGATTTGACTCGTAGTGATCACCTGTTAACAGCCTCCCAACAGCTGGATTACAGGCATGCGACACCATGCCCAGTCTCAATTGCCGTCTCAGTGTGCCTGGGGGTCAGTGTAGCAGACCCAGGGATTGAACCCCGGCCCCTATGCCTGCTTGCAGGCACTTTAATCCGTTGAGCTATCTGGCCAACCCATAATTTTGAGGGGGAAAAAAAAAAAAGAAGAAGAAGCACTTCAGTTGATAAGGAGGAATGGCTTGATCTACCTCACTATTTTAGAATTCCTAATGAGTTACTGGCTCTAATGAATGATCATAAATTGCTATTGACATCACGAGAGAGAAAGCATGAGGTGGCCCTTCCTGATGGCACTACACACCACCACCTGGGAGTTTGGTGCCAGAGCCAACCTAACTCTGGCTGTATACTGAGCTTCATAGTTGATTTAATGGACCGTGGGACAGAAAAACTGGGGCGATGGCACCACGGGGATGCAGTCAGCAGCACCAGATTAAGACTCCACATGACTAAAACAGTTTCTACAACCAACAGCAAAGTAGAGAAGAATGCATGGTGTGGGGGTGTATATTAAAGAACACTGAGAGATCCATTCATCAATATTTGGACCATGTTTGGATCCTAGTTCAAATCAACTTTTAAAATATTGTAAGACACATAGAAAATGAAACAAAATAAGAGGATAGCCCAGTGGTCTAAGGGCCTGGCTGGCAAGTGCAAGGACGGGGGTTCAATCTCAGGTACCACGGTACCACATGCCATGCCAGCCCTGGAGTCCTCAGCATGCTGTGCTGGCCCCAAAATTGGGTGTGGTGGCATGCACCTGTAATCCCAGTACAGGGAAGGCTGAAACAAGAAGATCACTACAAGTACGAGCTGTGTAGCAAGATCCTATGCTACATAAATTAGTTAATTAATTAAATGAATGTTTTTTTTTTGTTTTTTTGTTTTTTTTGCAATACCAGGGATTGAACTCAGAACCCTGTGCTTGCCAGGCAAGCACTTATTCTACTGAGCAATCTCCCCAGGCCCTAAAATTTCTTAAAAAAGAAAAAGAAACAAACTTGATATTTGACAGTATTCAGGTTTATTATTGATTTGAGAGAGTTGAATGATGATATTGTGATTAGGTTTGAAAAGGTACAGCCTTGTCTATTGCAGACACTGAAATGCAAGTAGATCACATTATGATACTTAGGATTTGCCTGAACTTAATCCAGGGTGAGGGAAAGGACCAGAGAGGCTGGTGTGTAGAGGGAAACAGGCGGATTGTGAATTGTTCATCAGTGACCCAGCACATGGGTTCATGGTTACTCTAGTGTGCTCTCTACATTTTATATTTCTTGTATTTCCATTTTCAAAAGGAAAAAATAAGAAAATTACATGTTTTATGTATTTAAGAAAGTGTAGAAATAGATCAAAAAGCCAGGCTGAA